GAAACCCTTCTTGTTACCCTTCAGATCCCTCACTAGCTGCAACTTCAGTTGTGCTTTGGCCTTCCTGACTTCATCCCTGCATGCAGGTGTTCAGCTCTTATTAGGGTTGTAAATACAGGAGTCAGCTGAGAAGTTTCTAGCCTTCAAAGTTCAGAGATGTTCTGTACTTGTATTTTGTACAAGATGCACGACAGTTCATCCTTTAAGAATGTGCATTGCATTGTTTGGAACAGGGTACTCATCAGTTTTTTTTTTTTCTATTGAGTGAATTCTAAGAACGTTGTTCATACAGGCAGCCTTCTCTATACCTATAACATATGGGATTCCATGTATGCTTCATCTTGCTTTTACCATAGGTTTAAAACATCTTACAGTTACTGTGTGTGTTGTCTTAAGCGTTAAAACTGCATCCCTTGTGTAAGGAGAGGATGAAAGGAAAGAAATGTCAATTCTGTTAATCATTTTTCATAACCACAGCTCTGTGAAACTCAACCAGAAAAAAAAGTTTGGAAATTCCCAGTTTTTTTGTTAACAAACTTATGACCACATACATATCCCACTGGGCGTGGAAATTTTTACTTTCAGTTCCCCGAACTTCACTCTTTTCATTGCCACTTTACCTCCACTTACTTCCTTGAGCCAAATTCTGCCTTGTGGTATCCACGTAACCAAGCAGAAATTAGATGTGAGGGAACAGTAAGGAAGTATGATACGATGACCTAACAAAAGGAAAGAAGACCAAAAAAAAAAAAAAAGAGTTCGTGCAATAAAATTCAACATATGATAACACTTAGAACACTTGTAACACTCAGCAGCTGAGATCTGAAGTCTCCTTTTGCTTGGGCACAAGCACATAGCAAGAGTGAGTCCCTAGAAATTAAGGTTTCCATGACGCCACCACAAACTGAATGCAGATATCCAGAATCCATGTCTAGGAGCCATCAAACTCCTTTTTCTATACCACCCAAGCTACAGTAATAACTTGTTTAAAAGTCCTTGTATGCTGATTTGAGTGGCCCCAGCCACAGGGTCTTGTGAGGACCTAAACAGCCTTCTCCTGTAGACTGTAGTTATGTACAGGCTAATAGGAGCTCTTCAGTTGCATTTTGAGATGGTGTCTTTGTCACAGCCATATTCAACAAGTATCATCCAAGATCAAAGGACTACTTTAGCAGTGCTTCTATCTCAGGCTGAGAGCTCTCCAGGAACAATGAGAACCCTTTAATTAAAGCCCCTTAAGTTTTTCTCAGCTTCTTGTGGCCTGCTGTCCCTCTCCCCCATTTCTGCTGTTTTTCGTGCATGTATAAAAATAACTTGTTCTCTGGCTGTATGTGGCATTCACAGAGGTCGTCGGCTAAGGTTTTGTGCGACATCACAGCCAAGGTGTTGAGAGCCATAAATGCCACAGAGAAAGCTGTGCACGAATCGCTGAGTGGAGATGACCAGCGTGATGTTGCTTCCCCCTTCCTCGGAGGGCAGCCTTCCAGTCTGAAAGATGGGAAAGAGGCAGCTGAAGCCTATCGAAAACTTGAAGAAAATGTAAGGCTCTGAAGTGCTTGCTGGAGTTACCAGACCATTAATAAGGAGGGCAGGAGATTCATGTGTGGGAATCAGAAAGTATCGGGGAACTATAAAGCTCATTGCTGTGGATGTCAGAGTTGAAAGGGAGACTTTAAACCATGGGTTTGAGAATTAGGAGATGCAGGGCTGGAATGGGAAATTGCTCCCAGCCTGCCCCAGCCACACAGTGAAAAATGGGAGGGAGCTCACAAGTTGGAGGTGAGAAAAGGGCTCTAAATAAAACAGAGTGTTGCCTGATTTCAGTTCAGAGGCCGAGTCATGACTATGAAGTTCTGCTGACTTCATCCCAGTACTCACTGCAAAGTTCTCTGAATGTGGTGGGCTAGTGCAGGAGGAAAAGGTTGGGTTTGTTTTATAACTAGGAGTGGAATGACTAGTACATTGATCATATGTAGGAGGTGAGTGGGAAGTGTGGTATGATCCCATGAATAGGTGAGTGCATGTAGTTCCTGGAAATGTATATTTTAACTACAAGGTAGTATCTTACATGCAGCTTTTTGTAATAAGTATGTCAGTGATTGCTGCTATGGGACTCCTGCACTGGAAATGGCCATTCCAAATCTCTGAGTCCCTTCTTTTGACCTCTGTAAACGTTCAGGGGCAGCGCTATGCCTGAGTGCTTGGGGACTTCCTTTAACAAAGGCAGTATTTCTGTATTTAGAAATATATCTTCTAGCAAACTGTGCATCTAATCAATTTTCCAAGATAATTTGGCAGACACATGCAGCTACAAAGGGCTAAAGTTTCTCAAATTCCATAGTCCTTCTGGTTTTTAATCAAAAGTCACATCTCAGGGAAAGCGGGGCCCTCTGTATCAGTCACAAGTTTCATTGTTTCTAGGGTCAGAAGGGACCTGAGTAGATCATCTAGTCCGACCCCCTGCCATGGCAGGAAAGAGTACTAGGGTCAAACGACCCCAGCAAGTTGTACATATAGCCTCCTCTTAAAGACCCCCAGGGTAGGAGCCAGCACCACTTCTCTTGGAAGTTGGTTCCAGATCCTAGCCACCCTGACCGTGAAGTAGCACCTCCTGATACCTAACCTATATCTACCCTTTGCCAGCTTGTGACCGTTATTCTTGGTCACTCCTGGCAGTGCTCAGGGGAACAGGGACTTCCCCAATGCCTGCTGGTCCCCCCTGACTAGTTTATAACAGGCCACTAGATCCCTCCTCAGCCTTCTCTTGTGGAGGCTGAACAGGTTCAGGTCCCATAGCCTCTCCTCATAAGGCCTGCCCTGCTGCCCCCTGATCATGTGAGTGGCCTTCCTCTGGACCTCCATGTTGTCCATATCCCTCTTGAAGTGTGGTGCCCAGAACTGGATGCAGTACTCCAGCTGCAGCCTGACCAGTGCCGCATAGAGGGGGAGGATCACCTCCTTGGACCTGCTCGAGATGCATCTGTGGATGCATGACAAGGTGCGGTTGGCCTTCCTGACCGC